TCCACTCCATCGTCCTCCGTGACTTTGCTCTCTCCTGGTTCTCTTCTTACCTTTCTCAGCGCACTTTCAGGTGTCACATACAATTCCTCCTCCTCCGCTCCTCTTCCTCTTTCTGTTGGGGTACCCCAAGGTGCTGTCTTTGGGCCCCTCCTTTCTCTCTCTATACCTCCTCCCTGGGCCAACTGATAACCTCCCATGGCTTCCAATACCACCTCTATGCTGACAAAACCCAGATCTATCTCTCCACTCCCCAGCTCACCCCCTCAGTTTCCTCACGTATGACAAATCTACTAAGCGACATATCAGCATGGATGTCACATCACTACCTTAAACTCAACCTTTCAAAAACCGAGCTTGTAATATTTCCTCCTCCCCGATCCCCCCACTCATGACTTTACCATTAAGATCAACAGCACAACCATCGGTCCTTCCCCTCATGCCAGGGTGCTAGGCGTAATCCTAGACTCTGACCTCTCCTTTGGGCCCCACATCCACTCACTGGCTAAATGAGGCTTTGCAAGACTCTGACAGCCGAATGCAACACTTCCAGAGACAGGGACATGATGGGACTTGTAGTACCTTAACAGCTGTGGGGCTATAGTTTGGAGACCCCTGGTTTAGACAGTTCACATTCTTTTATTCATCATCATATGGGCAGTTTGAATTGCCTAGGTTTGTGACAGATTTACTTTCTAGCAGTATTAAACCTAAAAGCAAACATTTATTATATTGCAGCTTACCATTTCTTGGATGTAATGGCTGCATTATTTATTTTTCTTAGGCTTTACATAATTTTTGCCTGCTGATCTGGCCAGTAAGTCTGATGTTTTTCAAAAGAACAAGCTTTCCTTCAGATGTAGCTGACTACTACTGACAGGGGTTCTTACAATGATCAGCTTTTATTTGTTTATGTAAAACAATTATCCCAAAAGGGAAAAACAATGTTGCTGTAACTGCTTATAAAGTGTGAACTGGAGTTTGGCTTCAAATTAGTGTATCTAAATCTGCTAGTACATCTAACACTCTGCTCCTCCTAGACTGACAATGCTATTGTCCAAAGGTGGCCCCTGTGCTCATTCACCAGAGGCACTCTAATACAGGATGTGTTACTGGCCAGATCACTAGGTGAAAACAGAGAGAAAAAAAAGACTAAAAAAAAATTTAACTAATGTTGCCACCACATCTAATGATTGGTTAGCTGCAATATATCATATTACATTTTTGGTTTTGGGTTAATACCACTTTAAATGGAAAGCATGCTGCATAGAAGGAAATTATGATTTTGAGAAGTTTTATTTCACATATTTTTTTTTTATGTTACAATTCCTTTTTATAGGCTGCCTCTGTGACACTCTAATAAGACGTTCAGCAATACCTGCATGCTTGCTGGCATCCTGTGAATAACCAACTAATCTAGATCACAGTCCTTGTAAACTGATCTCACCTGCTTGTTTTGACTACTAAACTGCTTAGCTACAGTAAGCCACAATAAAGCTGCTTAATATTCATATTAAATATTTAGCCAATTAAAGAAAAGAAACCTTTTTATTTTATTACAGAACATACGGATAGGTCTTTGCTAAATGATAAAAGTGAGAATAGGCCTAAAAAGATCTGCCCATTTTTCATTAGTTTCTCGGTTCAGCATAGAGAGATAGAGAGAATCTTTAAAAGAAACTGGAGAATCTTCAAAGAGGACCCAGTGCTGGCAGGTTTTCTACCTGATAGCCCGAAAGTCATCTTCCAATGAGCACCCCCGTTGAAACACAGGATAGCCCCTAATATAGTGAATCCACCTAAAGAGATTACATTTTTTTCTGGATTAAAAGATTTTTTTCCTTGTAATAAATTCATGATCTGTACACGTAATAATGTTCGGAAAAAAACATTTTATTCTTTTTTGTCCCACTCTACAGGTAAGGAGTACATGATTGACTCCTTGATTACATGCAAGAGGAGATATTTAGTATATCTTTTAGAATGCTCTTGTAAAAAGCAATATATAGGTAGAAATACTAGAAGGCTGAGAGATCGCTTAAGGGAACACCTTTATAATATCAGGAAGGCTTTTAAAGAGCATTCTCTTTCTAAACATTATAGAGATCGTCATCATAAAGATCCTTCCTATTTGGAAATCTATGGGGATAGATCTCATTCGTCCCCACTGGAGGGGAAATAATAAACGTAGGGCAGCATCCATGCTTGAGACAAAATGGATTTATGAAATGTGCACTTTGCTCCCCTTGGGACATAACATCGATATAGATGTCAACTGTTTTATTGATAATAGTTGACGTACATGCTTTTCATCCGGTCTGAAAAGTATTCATTACTGTACTATTCTTCAATTGCATTCCTTTTGGATGTTTGTAGGGTTTTCTATCTTTATCATTCTGTATGAGATATACCCTTTGAGGATTTTTAGGTAATTTATTTATGTTATTGGTTCATTCAGGTGAGTTTATTTATTATGTTTAAGATTTTTTATTGATTTGTTTGCATTATATGTAATAACTACACCTCATCACTATCTCACCGGATTATAGCTGTAAATGTCTAGCTAGTTGAATCCCAATTATTATATCGATATTTATAGTGTCCTTTAGATTCAGGTTAATATCGTATATCGAGTAAGTTTGAGCAATTGTTAATAAGCTCTGGCTATGGGCTATTCAATTAAATTATGAGAATCTAAATTAATTAATGTTTATTTGATGATCATATTTATAATAATCATTTCTGTTCCGGGGATATGGTTGTGATGGTTGGTCTACAAGGCCCGCACGCCTTCTATAAAATAGCACGCGTTCGGTCACGCGCCTGAGGCCTATTTAAGTCATGCACTGTGATGGCGTCAGTATGAGGCGGGTCCCTTTGAGAACGTGCATGTGCACGAAAAGCGTCAGGGAGGAGCCTACGTGCTGATGTCATGCCACCGAGTCCACACGATGGTCCGGCGGCCATCTTTGTAAGTGATTTGTTGCCTGCAATTTTGTTTTATGCTCCAAGTGGTTTTGATTACTTTTAAATAAAATACTACTCTATATTTCACTGTCTCTGGGCTGTGTGTGTGAGCTCTTTCCCCAGGAGGTACCTCACCCTGGATGGATCACTGACTGGTGAAGGGGAGGTTAGTTTGCAAGTATGCACACATAGGACCCCATAATACAGTGTAGGTCGTCAGGTCATTTCCCTTTTTCTCCTGCAGTGGATGGATACAAAGAACCAGCAAACACAAATGCTCCTGCGCTTGGGGATGGACTCGATACAGGCTACAACCACATAAGGAATGTCCTGGAACATGCACACCTTGCTGCCCTCAAATGGACCAGGGAAATCCAAATATACTGAATGAGGAAAGAAAAAACAGAGGGCGCACAGGCCTAGTGCATTACCATAAAAAATGTTTAATAAAAAATAAAGTATGTGTTGTACTCACAAACGACAATATAGTCAAGGCACATCATAAAGAACAGCTGGGTCAACACCGCGCTAACAGTCCGCAATAGGGAGTATAGACATCCAAAAGACTGACGCGTTTCGAAGACTTGCCTCTTCCTCAGAGCTCTGAGGTGTTGACCCAGCTGTTCTTTATGATGTGCCTTGACTATATTGTCGTTTGTGAGTACAACACATACTTTATTTTTTATTAAACATTTTATATGGTAATGCACTAGATCTGTGCGCCCTCTGTTTTTTCTTTCCTCATTCAGTGGATGGATACATCCTGAGGAGCGATTTCCATACAAGGCCTTTTTGCTTCTTGCTTCGGGTGAGTGCATAGTGCAGGAGGATTGTCACAGAAGCCACAGAAGTTACTTTTTATCATTGATCACTATTGGTTCACACAGTATGTTGGAAATTTGTATTGCTAGTCATTATTGATACACAAAGTATTGTTGGACACTGCAATACTGGACTTTATGAAAGTGAGTAATATTCAAATATTTGTTGTTTGGTTTTTGTTCACTTACCAGCGCTGCACTTTTATTTAAGAGGTAGGATTCAGCCTGTGTGTCTTCTCCAGGGTCTCCCTCAGCAGCGCAGGGGGTGGGAGGAGCTGAAAATCTGGACGGATAGTGAGAGCTGCCCAACTTATCATATTAACAAGCAGGTGACTACCAGCTTGTTAATATCAAAAGACTCCCACTCATCGGCAGCGGAGACAGTCATGGTCATATAGTGGCAGTTGACCGGCGACTGTGTTCGCTGGTTACCTCCCGCTGTGGGGCCTGGTCATTAACAGGACACATATCGGTACTGGTCTGCTGTCAGGGCTCCCGGGTATGACCAGAGGTGTGTGACTGACGCAGGGAAACGCAGACTTCAGATAAGTTATAAACAATTTATTAACACTAACAATACAAACATAAACGCAGTGCAATACTAAAACATAACACAGTGCAAACGAACCAAACCAAACCAACCACAGATAACAGTACATACAGTGCAAGCGTCAGGCAGGTCGGGTCAATATCAATCGGGCAGGTAGGTACAGGGGGAGCAAGCGGAGAATAGTCAGGTCACGAGAATGGTACAGCAACTAACAAGCAGGTAGGTACAGGGGGTCAGGCAGAGAATGGTCGGGGGCACAAGCCAGGGATCAGAACAGGAGAAATCAGCAGAGGTCAGAATCAAGCGGGTCAGCAACAAGACAGGAACAGGAGCAGGAGCAGGAGCAGGATGCAGGATGCAGGAACAAGATACAGGGCCCAGGAAAAACACAACACCAAGGCAGAGTCTGCAGGTCTGAATGTCCCTTAAATACACCAGTATAATTAGTTCCAGGTGTTTGACTGGCTGCAAGGTTGAGTCTCTGATTGCTGGGAGCACCCGCTGGCCAGCCCTGGTACTGCAGCTCACAAGGCAGGTGAGTCCCACTATTGCTGGCCAGTCCATTCCTGACAGTACCCCCCCCTCAAGGAGCGGCCTCAGGACGCTCCAAACAGTCCTAACTGGGCAAAATGTTCCACCGCCCGGGTCTGGTAACTGGCGGGATATCAAAGACTGGCACTCCGGGCAGCGGCACACCGGGCAGAGGCACATCGGGCTGGACTCCGGGCAGAGGCCCATCGGGCTGGACTCCGGGCAGAGGCCCATCGGGCTGGACTCCGGGCAGAGGCCCATCGGGCTGGACTCCGGGCAGAGGCACATCGGATTACCAGGTGAAGCAGCAGGCACCGGGCCCCCAGGCGGGGTGACAGGCACCGGGCCCCCAGGCGGGGCAACAGGCACCGGGCCCCCAGGCGGGGCGACAGGCACCGGGCCCCCAGGCGGGGCGACAGGCATCGGGCCCCCAAGCGGAGGGGCGACAGGCATCGGGCCCCCAGGCGAGGCGACAGGCATCGGGCCCCCAGGCGGGGCGACAGGCATCGGGCCCCCAGGCGGGGCGACAGGCATCGGGCCCCCAAGCGGAGCGGCGGGCGCCGGGCACCCAGGAGGGGCGACGGGCATCGGGCCCCCAGGAGGGGCGACGGGCATCGGGCCCCCAGGAGGGGCGACGGGCATCGGGCCCCCAGGCGGAGCGGCGGGCACCGGACCCCCAGGCGGAGCGGCGGGCACCGGACCCCCAGGCGGAGCAACAGGTCTCGGGCCCCCAGGCGGAGCGACAGGTCTCGGGCCCCCAGGCGGAGCGGCGGGCACCGAGTCGTCTGGCAAGACTGCGGGCACCGAGTCGTCTGGCAAGACTGCAGGCACCGAGTCGTCTGGCAAGACTGCGGGCACCGAGTCGTCTGGCGGAACAGCGGGCACCGAGTCGTCTGGGAAGACTGCGGGCACCGAGTCGTCTGGCAAGACTGCGGGCACCGAGTCGTCTGGCAAGACTGCGGGCACCGAGTCAACTGGCGGAACAGCGGGCACCGAGTCGTCTGGCAAGACTGCGGGCACCGAGTCGTCTGGCAAGACTGCGGGCACCGAGTCAACTGGCGGAACTGCGGGCACCGAGTCGTCTGGCAAGACTGCGGGCACCGAGTCGTCTGGCAAGACTGCGGGCACCGAGTCGTCTGGCAAGACTGCGGGCACCGAGTCGTCTGGCAAGACTGCGGGCACCGAGTCGTCTGGCAAGACTGCGGGCATCGAGTCAACTGGCGGAACTGCGGGCACCGAGTCGTCTGGCAAGACTGCGGGCACCGAGTCGTCTGGCAAGACTGCGGGCACCGAGTCGTCTGGCAAGACTGCGGGCACCGAGTCGTCTGGCAAGACTGCGGGCATCGAGTCCACTGGCGGAACTGCGGGCACCGAGTCGTCTGGCAAGACTGCGGGCACCGAGTCGTCTGGCAAGACTGCGGGCACAGAGTCGTCTGGCAAGACTGCGGGCACCGAGTCGTCTGGCAAGACTGCGGGCACCGAGTCAACTGGCGGAACTGCGGGCACCGAGTCGTCTGGCAAGACTGCGGGCACCGAGTCGTCTGGCAAGACTGCGGGCACCGAGTCATCTGGCAAGACTGCGGGCACCGAGTCGTCTGGCAAGACTGCGGGCACCGAGTCAACTGGCGGAACAGCGGGCACCGAGTCGTCTGGCAAGACTGCGGGCACCGAGTCGTCTGGCAAGACTGCGGGCACCGAGTCGTCTGGCAAGACTGCGGGCACCGAGTCGTCTGGCATTGGATCGTCTGGCTCGACAGCGGGCATCGGGTCACCAGGTATGACAGCGGGCACTGGGTCACCAGGCATCAGGTCATTTGGCTCGCCAGCGGGCACCGCGTCATCTGGCAAGGCAGTGGGCACCGAGTCACCAGGTACGACAGCGGGCTCTGAGTCAATTGGCACGACAGCGGGCACCGGATCAGGTACCGGATTATCTGGATCAACAGCGGGCATCGAGTCAACTGGCCTAATAGGATCATCATGCTGGATCAGTTCATTATGCTGGGTAGAAGCATCCGGCTGAGTAGAGGCATCCGGCTGAGTAGAGGCTTCAGGCTGAAGAGAGGCATCAGCTGAGTAGAGGCTTCAGGCTGAGTAGAGGCTTCAGGCTGAGTAGAGGCTTCAGGCTGAGTACAGGCATCAGGCTGAGTAGAGGCATCAGGCTGAAGAGAGGCATCAGGCTGAACCACGGAAGGCAGGTTCTCAGACGGTAGGCTCTCCGGTTTGGATACTGGCAGGATGGTACTGGTTGGAAAGAATTTTCGCTTTTTTCTGGTTTTAACTACTGGAGCACTGCAAGTAAACGCAGGTCTGCAAATGAATGGAGCAGCTGGAGACAGAGAAGAGCTGGAGGATGGAACAGGGGAAGGAACAGTCGCTACAGAGGGCTTCTTTACAGGGTTAAAGGCAGGATAGGTGTAGCGAGTGGGAACAGGGTACTGACATGCGGTAGATAGCAGGGCAGGAGGAGCTGTTGGGAATACAGGAGTAGAGCTTTGAGGAAATAGATTAGAAGCAGGACTGGGTTTTTGTAAGCTGACTGAGGCTGGGTGCAACAAATCTGTCCATGTCTGCAGTATGGGTTGAACAAAGCTGAGCTTACACAAAGCCTGTCTGACCAAAGACTGCACTGCGTTTATACAATCTCTTAGTGTCTGTGGTGAACATGTGGAATAACGCTCCAGAAAGTAACCCACATCATCCTCTAATAATCATACCAGGGACTCTACCTGGTCTGCACTAAATGGTGGCAAAAATTCATCCCTGCATTCGGGGGTACCAGATGAAACCAACTCAGCACAAACCTCAATCAATGGCTGCACCTCAGAGAACTCTGTGCCCTGATCTACTAGAACATGAGCGAGCCGTATACATTCTAGCAGTTCATCCCGGGGATACTCCCTCAGAGTTTGATAAGCATACTCCCTGTCATCAAACACTAGCAGATATAAATACGCAACCTCATCCAGATCCATCCTTCCCATCAACAAACCAAGATGGCTTCCCTGTGCAGCCACTTCTGGTCAGGATTGGCCTTGGTGTAATGTCAGGGCTCCGGGTATGACCAGAGGTGTGTGACTGACGCAGGGAAACGCAGACTTCAGATAAGTTATAAACAATTTATTAACACTAACAATACAAACATAAACGCAGTGCAATACTAAAACATAACACAGTGCAAACGAACCAAACCAAACCACCCACAGATAACAGTACATACAGTGCAAGCGTCAGGCAGGTCGGGTCAATATCAATCGGGCAGGTAGGTACAGGGGGAGCAAGCGGAGAATAGTCAGGTCACGAGCAGGGTACAGCAACTAACAGGCAGGTAGGTACAGGGGGTCAGGCAGAGAATGGTCGGGGTCACAAGCCAGGGATCAGAACAGGAGAAGTCAGCAGAGGTCAGAATCAAGCCGGGTCAGCAACAAGACAGGAGCAGGAGCAGGATGCAGGATGCAGGATGCAGGGCCCAGGAAAAAACACAACACCAAGGCAGAGTCTGCAGGTCTGAATGTCCCTTAAATACACCAGTATAATTAGTTCCAGGTGTTTGACTGGCTGCAAGGTTGAGTCTCTGATTGCTGGGAGCACCCGCTGGCCAGCCCTGGTACTGCAGCTCACAAGGCAGGTGAGTCCCACTATTGCTGGCCAGTCCATTCCTGACATCTGCGGCTCGGGGGTTGGGACCCCTGGTTTAGATTGTCTACAGTTCTTGTTTTGGCAATTCAAGGAATGGCTGCAAAGACCATCATATAATGGAGGCTGCTTAACTGGTTCAAAGCTTTTTTGGCTGAGCGTGAGAGTGGGATTAATGGTGATCTAGTTAATAAAACAAGTGATTTTGTGATTGTGATTAACATCCAATTTGGTAAACATCCAATGGGAATTGGTCCCACAAAAATTGAGGATCCTGATAGTTGTTTAAATTCTTCATTATGCTATTAAAAATAAAAAAAAAAAAAAATTCTGAGCCATTTCTGTCTCTTGCTGGATATTGCGGATGTCTCTTGCTGGATATCTTTGCTGGATATGGGAGATGTCTCTTGCTAGATATGGGGCTGTCTCTTACTGGATATGAGACTGTTTCTTGCTGGATATTGGGAATGTCTCTTGCTGGATATTGTGGATGTCTCTCTCTGGATATGGGAGATGTCTCTTGCTAGATATGGGGCTGTCTCTTACTGGATATGAGACTGTTTCTTGCTGGATATTGGGAATGTCTCTTGCTGAATATGGGGACTGTCTCTTGCTGGATATTGTGGATGTCTCTCTCTGGATATTGGGGATTTCTCTTGCTAGATATGGGGCTGTCTCTTGCTGGATATGAGCCTGTCTATTTGCTGGATATGGGGATGTCTCTTTACTGGATATTAGGGATGTCTCTTGCTGGATATTGGGGATGTTCCTTGCTGGATATGGGACTGTCTCTTGCTGGATATTGGGGACTGTCTCTTTGCTGGAGATGGGCTGAAAGTGCCTCTGAGCTTACTTTGTTAAGTGCTGAATATTTCAAATTTTTTGTACATTTTACTATATTGTTTTTTATTAACAAATTTATTACAAATTACTTGTATAGCCCCCCGTAAATTACACTTGGTTCTCGGTTTTATAAAGGGGGTGGTGCTAGAAGGTGTGTAGCGGTGGAGACAAGGGGCAGTCCCAGGGGGCGGTTCTAGGGGTCGGTAGGAGGAGGAAATAGGCGTGACCTAGGGGTGGGGGGTGATTTCCTGCACCTTTTCTCTGAGAAAAAAAGCTCTGCTACTAATATTTATTCATATAGGGTTCCAATTAAAATGTCCCTAAAAAAGTAAAAATTATTTAGGTAGACAGATTAGTCATACAGTCATTGTCTCGCTAACCTGGGCATCTATGCTTTAACCACTTGCCGACCGCGCATAGCCGAATGACGGCTTCACCGCGGCCGGCCAGTTCTGAGTGGACGTCATATGACGTCCTCCCAGAACGCGCTCTCCTGCGCGCCCCAGGGGGCGCGCACCCGGCGATCTCCGTGATCGCTGTGTCCTACGGACACAGCTGATCACGAGATGTGGTGAAAGGCCGATCCCACCGGCCTTTTACCACGTGATCAGCGGTGTCCAATGACACGCTGATCACAGGAAAATGCAAGTGCCGGTTCTTGGCTGCACTTTCCTCACGCTGTCAGATCGTGAGGAAAGTACTGCCGAGAACCGGCAGTTGTCAGAGCGGGGATCGGCACCGATCATCAGGGCACTGATGATCAGTGCCCTGATGATCGGTGCCCAGCAGTGACCCCCGCAAGTTCCGATCAGCTGTGCGCCCACTAGCCCCGCCCACCCATTCCCAGCAGTGCCCCCACCTGTGCCCAGCAGTGCCCCCACCTGTGCCCAGCAGTGCCCCCACCTGTGCCACTCTGCAGTGCCACCTACATGTGCCCAGCAGTGCCACCCACCTGTGCCCACCCACCTGTGCCCACCAGCGCCACCCACCTGTGCCCACCAGTGCCGCCCACCTGTGCCCACCCACCAGTGCTGTCCACCAGTGCCACCCACCAGTGCCACCCACCAGTGCTGCCAGTCAGTGCCACCAGTCAGTGCCCAGGGGTTGTGCCAGTCAGTGCCGCCAGTCAGTGCCCAGAAGTGATGTCAGTCAGTGCCGTCTATCAGTACCCATCATCAGTGTCACCTATCAGTGCCGCCTATCAGTGCTGCATATCAGTGCCGCCTATCCGTGACCCCTAATTAGTGCTGTCTATCAGTGCCGCCTATCCGTGCCACCTCATTAGTACTGCCTATCAGTGCCCTTTAGTGCTGCCTATCAGTGCCCATCAGTGCCGCCTATCAGTGCCCATCAGTGCCGCCTCATCAACGCAAATCAGTGAAGGAGAAAAAATACCTGTTTGAAAAATTTTATAAAAGAAACAAATAAACTTTTTTTTTTTTTTTTCAAATTTTTTGCACTTTTTTTAATTTATAGCGCAAAAAGTAAAGTGCCCAGTGGCGATTAAATACCACCAAAAGAAAGCTCTATTTGTGAGAAAAAAATGATCAAAATTTCATATGGGTACAATGTTGCATGACCGCGCAATTGTCAATCAAAGTGCGGCAGCGCTGAAAGCTGAAAATTGGCCTGGTAAGGAAGGGGGTATAAGTGCCTGGTAGGCAAGTGGTTAATGACCCCTCGCCAGGAAAGGGTTAACTAAACATAATAGTAATGCAGGTTATATTGTTTTCAGAGTCAAGGAAAAAGTGGAAAGGTTCACAGCTCTAACCCTCCAAGTGCTTTCCTCCTATGTTGGAGTCAGGCGCTGGCTTGAGACCCTTAATTCCTTCACACATGGCTCAGTATCATCCAAAAAAAAGCTGCAGTCCAATGATATCTATCACAGACAAAACTTTAATCAGTCAACAAGATTCACCACAAGTCTGCCTTTTGCAAGAAAATAATAAATGCGCCAGTATGGGCATTTCATTTTTTTGCATAGGAGCCTGGCAGGCATTGCAACTGCGATCAGTGGATGACGGGTACAATGTTCTGGCTCCTGCAGACTCTGCAGACACTGGTTCTTACCAAGGTACGGATCTTCAGTTATGGAGCTAGAAGAAGTGTCATTGGGCTGCAAGTGCAGTGAAGTCTCCGCATTGTGCTCCTTGGAGAATTCCGAGTCAATCTGCTGCAGTGAAAGACGGAACTCCTAGTCTCTTTATTCACAGATTCCTATGAAGGAATGATGTGGCTGTATGGTCCACATTGATTGTAAACTTGACATTAGCAAGTGAGGAGCAGCACCCCAGACTTCTGTAGGAGAGCGTGGCCCTTTGATGGTGGAGGATGCAGATTCTGACTATACTTCATGTCACATCCAGGGGTGGACTGACCATTTGGAAACTCGGGCACTACCCCAGGGTCAGTAGGGGGCCCCATGAGATGCCCCTGGTACCTTTTTCATAGGCTTTTTTGAGTTTGGCTAAGGACACAGGGGCCC